AATTTTGTGTATAGCCTTAAACTAATTTAGTCAAAATAAATAATTTGAAAAAAAAAAATTCATGCACTCTTTTATAGTTTACTACCTAGAAACAGTTCAAGAAAATAATTAAAATATTTACTTCACATCTGCAGATTCTAAGGGATGTGAATACATTAAAAATGTAATGATTAGAATAAAAAATAGAATTTTGCATGTTTTCATATTGGCTACTTTTTATTAATCCAATGTCTTTGAAAATTTTTACTTATGTATTTTTTCAGAAATTTCAAGCTACTGAAAAAAATTACCCAAATCTGGCCATTTAAATGTGCAGTGAACTATTTTAGTAGCTGTTTAACATTTTTCAAAGACTTCTTCCATAATAATGTGAACTAGATACTTGCCTGTGCTGTGGAGAGGGAAGTAGTGTAAGTGTTGTTACCCAGGTCAGTGTGACAATATGTAAATGAAATCTGGAGGATGGTGGAAATAAGTTGATATTCCACACAGCAGAACTACAGTCCAACTACTTAACAAAGCGCTGTTTATACTATACATCAGCTTCTGAGGGCAGAGAGGAGGAGGAGGGCCTGGGACAAAGCCGCTCTGATCCTCCCCATCCTGGGATGATATCAGCTCATCTGCATAGCCATCTTGAAGTTTGGTACATATTGTTCATCAGAAAGAACATGCTGTGACATTTAATTGTGGGTTCTAACACAAAAGCTGAGCGTTGAACAGGTTATTTCATTCTATTTGATTAAACAATGTCATTATTTAATTGCATATTTGGAAACTTCAATTAATTGAGCTTTAAAATTGCAAAAAAAAAAAAGTGGGGGGGAGTTAGCGTTTAAGTTCAGATCATTATAGTTTTCTACCAAATCAGTAAATGTTAAGAAAGTCACATGGAAAATTTGTCTAATTTTCCTCATGTGGGACTCTTACATTGCAGGACACCTAACTACCCTGGCTCCTGCCACTAAATACCCATGGTTCCATCTATATCTGTGCCATCTCAAAACCCACATGTAAAACATCCAATGTCGAGGTAGTATTGGTGTCTTGCCTAGCATGTCCAAGGCCCTGGGTTTATTCCCTAACAGACACACACACAAGTCTGAAATTGTTTTAATTGAAATTATCAGAAAAACAATTTTTAAAAAGTGTTCTCTAGGCAATTAATGGAGGCTGGGCATGATGGCTAAGGACCGTAATCCCAGCTACTTGGGAATCTGAGGCAAGAAGATCACAAATTCCAGGCCAGCCTAGGTAATTTGCCAAATTAGGGAAATAATTAAAATTTAAATTAGGGAAATAAAAAAGACTGGAGGTGTAGCTCAGTAGTAGAGCACTTGCCCAGCATGCACGAGGCCCTGGATTCCATCTTCATCACCACAAGAAAAAAAAAAGACATCTGATAAAATAATTAAAAAAAAAAAAAAATATATATATATATATATATATATATATATATGGTTTTTAAAGTCATTGCCAAGGACTAATTTTGGATAATGGACATTGTATATTCTGAAACAAAGAAAAGTCAGTGTTCAGTAAGCCCTTGTTTGAAAAATAAAAGAAGATATAGTGTAAATTTGGAAATAAGGAAAATTGGAATTAAAGTACAGATATATTTAAATTTTAAGCTACTTTATAAACATTCAAATGGTATAGTAAAATACATGAAAATGTTTACATGGGAAGTTCCTCTTTACCATATTTCTAGCTTTCCTTGATACTCAACTGCTGAGACTCTAGAGCCAGGCTATGACTTTGGGTAAGTTACTTCACTACCCCAAACCTCAGTTTCTTCACATGCAGTGTATTTAAATCTTACCTCACTATACTGTTCTGAGGATTGAGAACCAAGTGGATAAAGGGAACAGTGTCTGGCAGGTGGTAGGTAAGTGCCACTGTTACTGTTTCAATTTCTTCCATTTTGGAAGCTTCTTTAATGGAAGTGTTACTTTCAAAACAGTGTGCTTTCAGGGCTGGGGTTGTGGCTCAGTGGTGGAGCCAACACCTAGCATGTGTGAGGCGCTGGGTTCAATCCTCAGCACCAACCACCTAAAAACAAATAAATAAAATGAATGTATTGTGTCAGAACAGTGTGTTTTCAGTCATGGGGTAAAGCACTCCTGGCTGTCCTCAATAAAAAATTGATAAGAAAAAAATTAAACATACATTGCCTGAGGCACTCTGAGTTTTGGTGAAGGATGGTAATGAGGCCATCATGACTCACCTGTTATAAACCTAAAATTAAAATCAGTATAACAAGTCAACATGATTTCCAGATTTTACATTAAAAGTTTTTGTAAATGGGGCTGGGGCTGTAACTCAGTGGTAGAGGGGTTGCCTAGCATGTGTGAGGCACTGGGTTCATTTCTCAGCACTCATCTAAATAAATAAAGGTTAATTGACAACTAAAATATATGTTTTTGTAAATGTTGAACTCTTGATTTTAATTTTAGGTTTTTCATCTTTGTAGACATTTTCTTGGATTCATACAGATGTGAAGGGTACATTTTTTGAAATTTTGATTTTGAAATGTCCATATAGTGTGGAAAATTGACCCTTTTCCCACAAATCTTCGTTTTCATAGCTCTTGAGAGCAAGAGTAAGTTCTACAATCATTCTGCCTTTTTTTTTTTTTTTTTTTTGGGGGGGGGGTGTCCGTTTGTGTGTGTGTGTGTGTGTGTGTGTGTGTGTGTGTCTTATTTCTATATGCTTGATAAACCTGAGTTCACGTTGAGAACAGAATCTGCTTGTCCTTGATTGGCTGCAAGCTAGCATTTGCTGGGGTGGGTGATATAGCAGTGACTGAAATCCTGTCAACCCAGCTTGGAGTCTTGGCTCCGTCAATAACTAGCTGTGTGATCTTACACAAATTCTTAACTTCTCTATGCCTCTTCCCTCGACTAAAATAGATTTATTTAACCTCATGGAGTTGTTGTGAAGATTAAATGAATGCATTGTAACTGCTGAAGCAGCCTGAAGCATGTATGTAAGCACTCAATAAACATTAGCCATTATTACATCACTACTGTCACTGCTCATCTTTTGCAGAATTGTGTCAGGTGGTGGACCTGGAGGCACAGTGCTTGTACAGGCTGCAACAAGAAGCCTTTCTTGTGTGTCTTCTGAAAGCCTATTTGTTTGATTTAAATGTATAGGGTATGTAGATACCCCATAGCATTTCTGGGGAGTGGCAGGGTGTCCTTGAAATAACTGTTCACATTGCTTTCAGTTCCTTCCCTTCCTCCTTTCTGTTCATCTCTGTTCCACATTCTCTTCACATTTGCCTGGTCATAACCTTCTACGTAAGAAAAGAATTGCGGGGGTGGGGGGGGCAGTTCTCACTGACAAAAAGACCCTATTAAAATGAAGAAGATAAAATAATCATTTCCATGGGTAAAGAAGGGTAAAGATCTGTACATTCCAATAGTGAAGCCAGTAGCCACCTATAGCTATTAAATTTCAATTTGAAATCATGAAAATTAAAATTCAGTTTCTTGGTTATACTAGCCATAATGCAATGCTCCACAGTCAGGTGTGGGTAGCAGCTTCCATATTGGATATTAACTGATCATTGAAGAAAGTTCGGTTGGTCAGTGCTATTATAGATCATCTATTGATAAGGTCCTATTCTATCCCAACTTAGGAATCATGGAATCCTCAGTTATACCTGTTTAAGTCTTTGAGCCTCCATTCAAAAGAAAGATTATCTCTGGAGAGTAGAATGTTGAGCATGAGCCTCACTTTACTATTTAAATCTTTATCTTTAAGAAAGAATTATACATTATTAAAGCTGTAGCTGGCCAATTCATTGCACCTGGGGGGTGGGGGAATGAACCAAATTACAAAACCCCAAATTACATGAAACATCTCACTATTAACTTAAAAAAAAAAGATTATTGACATAGATTGTTATTGTTGGTGTAGTATGGTTTTGTAAGAATTTCTTAACTCTTCAAAGTGACTTGATAGTTCATAAACTTGTGCAGCTGCTAATGTGTCTGATAAATTTATAGTCATGATTCTCAACCAGGGATGATTTCACCTCACAGAACATCTGACAGTATCTGGAGACCTCTTTGGTGGTTGTACTTGAGCATGGAGCTGCTACTGGGATCTAGAGGCCAGGAACAGCGCTGACCTTCCTATTGTGCACACACAACCCAACAAGACTTGTTGGGCCCCAAATATCAATAACCCTAATTAGTAATAATTTACATACACTTTTATGCTTTTGAGAAGTTAGAGTTTCCTCTTAGAAACTTGCTAAAAACGGTCAATAAAAATAATCAAACTTGTGTAGCACTCTCTATGTCAGATTGTCTTCTAAGAGTTTTTGTATATTAACTCATTTAATTCTCTATTTGTTGTTGTTTGGCTTTTTAAGAATGTATTTTTAATTACAAAAGTAATAGGAACACATTGCAGAAAACTTTATTTTAAACGAGAAAGGAGAGGGGCTAGGGCTGGGGCTCAGTGGTAGAGCATTTGCCTGGCATGTGTGAGGCACTGGGTTCAATTCTCAGCACCACATATAATAAATAAAATAAAGGTCTATCAACAACTAAAAAATATATTAAAATAAATGAGAAAGGAGAGGAATGGGGGAAGAATGTAAAGGAAGTGAGGAATAAAAACAATAGATATAAGTCAGTAAAGAACACATTCTAATCATCCATTGTTACACTGAAAATTCCAGATGATATGTGACAGCCTTGATTCTATCCCTTTTGTTATTTAAAGTACACCATTTACTTATTTTTTGAGAAATAAGGACATGTATTTACCTATCATGTAGTATTTACTACATAATTAGACT